ATAAAATAAATGTTCTCATTTTGTTTGATCTACTCTGGAATCTCTTTACTGTTTCTTCCACAAAGTCTCTTTGCTCATGACAAATAAATTGCAGTTCCCTGGTTCCCCCAGGGCTGGAGATAATAACTCTGGATCTCGTAACACTGCCGAGCAAATGGCAGCAGTATCTACTGTGCTCATCTAATTTAGTTGACACATCATTTTTCTTCCCAATAAAATATGTTAATGGCAGGGGTGGGATTCAATTTTTTAACAACTGGTTTTGTGGGTGTGGCTTAGTTGATGGGTATGGCTTGGTCATGTGATTGGGTGGGTGTGGCCAACTCAACATCACTCATGTCAAGGGGTGCTTCTCGCCTGGCCTCATGACAGTGGGGATGCTGCAACAGTCATAAGTGTGAAAAATAACGGCCATAAGTCACTTTTTTCAGTGCCATTGTAACTTTGAATGGTCACTAAATGAACTGTTATAAGTTAAGGACTACCTGTTCAAAAATACAAAAAGCTTCTTTGCTTGCAAAAAGCTGTCCTAAATACCAATCATTAGATTAAACATACCTGCAAGCCCGAGTTACAAATCAGGCAGGGTGCCAGAGCACCTTGAGGAATTAAAATAGTTAAAATGCAACGATAACTATCAGCAGCCAACTCTTGCTCATAAAGTGAAACCCAGAGGTCATTTAAGCTCTCCAGAAAGAGCACACCCAGGAAAAGCAATCCTTAGATCCATTTGCACCACTTAAAGATAAAGCTGGTCTCACTCGCCTCACAAGATATCCTAAGGAAATCATCCAGATTTAGGGAAAGGTCACATGCCCCCCAGAAAGGCAATTAAAAAAAATCAGTGCCAAGCTTGTATCCTGCCTCTTGGAAGTATACCCCAAAAGGACAGTGAAGGAAGACCCCCTCTCCAGATAGAGAAAGAAACCACAAGGCAGGAAAAAATTCAAACACAATACAAATAATTAAATCATAACAGTAGCTGCTGCTTGTTGAAGCTGAATAGGGAAAATTATCCCATCAATAAGCACAGGATTAAACATCACCAAGTACAGAATTAACCTTCACCAAAAACTCAGAGAGGGTTTGTAAACTCACTTTTGAATGTCAATTTTTTTAACCAGCCAGGAAGCCTTGCGGAATGTCACTCATCTTGGTTCCGTCATTAAAAGCCCCTTTCCGGTTATTCAATTATTTCTTCAAAGTGCTGATTGTCCAGGGAAGTATGTACTCCCAACAGCAGTGTAAAAATCTTAAAGCAACCCTTCCCCTTTAAGAAAGTCAAGCTCCAGAAGCTCCAGAGACAGGAAGTCTAGGCATACTGGCAATAATGTAATAAGAGTGGAAAAAAACAAAAGGAGGTTGCTTCTAACTACCAGTTCTCCAAACTGTTAGAAAGTTAACAAGGGGTTCTATAGAACCAGTCCGAACTGATAGAATACCCACCCCTGGTTAATGGTATATGTGAAGTTTCTAAATAATTGGGATAACCCCTGTATACATTTTGAATGTATAAGGCTCTAAAACTATTTTTTCTTTTGTTTCTGCAATACTCTAGGACAGGGGTGTCAAACTGGATTTATTTGAAGGGTGGATTACCATTGTACTACTCTGTGAGCCGGCTGGGGGGGGGCGGACACAGGACAGACACCTCCTGCAGTACCCTGCTGGCCAAAACAGGGAATGAGGGGACCAGATGCCCCCCCACTGCCCATTTTCGGCCTAGATGGCCTCTGCCAGAAACGGGTTTTGGCTGCCAGAGACATCGTGGGCCAGATTTGCTATTTCCACGCTGGCCAGATTTAAGCGCCCCGCAAGCTGGATCCAGCCCTTGGGCCTTGAGTTTGACACCCGTGCTCTATAATTATAAACTACAAGGATATCTTGCCTTTAGGATTTATTCTGCAACAAAGTTGTAGAAATACCCACAGTCCTTGTAACCTTTTGAATGCAAACTAGTTTAATAGAGTAAGGTTGGTACTTTTCCCCCCAGATCAAAATAGCTTTGTACTCCATTCTTATCCTCTCCCCATTCTTGGGGGTCAAGATAGTGTGACAAAACATAAGATGTTGCGACTATTGAAATTAATTGTCCCCTAGAATTGTGTATAATTTGTTTTGTTTCTTGTGTGTTGCCATCTCAGACAGTATTTTGTTTGTGCAGTATTTACCGTCAGCCTTTTATTTCTGAATAGTTGTTTGCATTGCTGAACCATTTTTTTTTTCATATTGACTTTAAAGTTGATGCCTGCAATTTTCTGTAACAACGCTAGGGCGCAGTGTTTGACTTTCTATAAGTCATCAACTCATCCCCAAGAAATGCAGATATATAATAAGCATTAAAGGAGATTTGGCTGAATCAATTGTGTTTCTAAATTATTCAACTTCCTGTAACTTGTGTATTAAATTATATTTCTCTCTTTCTCAACTCTTTGCCCTCTTCACATTTCTTACATGGCTTTCTGTGTTTTCATTCTTAATAATTAAAATATATGTTGCTTATGTACTAAGTGGTAAAATAACGGATATAATAAATGTACAGCAGCCTGGCCAAGACAAATAAGCTAAAGATGGCGGAACAAACCTGTAACAGATTGAAGTATGACTTAAATTTTATTACAGCTTTTAACATTTACACTAAAAAGGGAAAACTATGTTTTGTTTTAAATGTCAAATCAAATGTTGTGATTCTGCCTGCATAAGCACTTTAAATTTCATTGACTGCTGGAACACAACATTTTTGTTTTTCCTGTTACCATTACTCTGAGAAGTTATTAGTCTCAAACAAAATCCTGGAAAACCTAATAAAGGTATTTTAAAAATGGATTACTGCAAAGTCAGCAGACCATGAAGTGAAGTCTAATTAAACTTAATGCAGCTTGAGTATGATGAGGTCTAAGATGAAAACCATATTTTTCTGTGTAGCATTTCCTCAGTAGTGATCTTAACACATTTCATTCTTTGCTGTACTGATACTAACGTCTTGTCTGATGCTTAACAGATTCCTTGTTATCCTGGATAACAAAATATATTGACCTAACTGATAACGTGGAATGTTTTTGAGAAATGATAGTAAACTCTCCCAGGAATCTCTCGAGTGAACAAGGTTTGTCTGGCCACATGAGCAGACTTCCCCAAAAGGGTGGATGTAAGGAACTTTATTCACCATTGCTTTCTGTCAACTTAAAAAAATTACTACACTAGTTAATTTAAGTGTATTTGTTTAAAGGACTGGGAATGAGATCTGGTCTGTACTGTGTTCAAGGGGGAAATCTTGAAATTGCCAGGTTTTTTTAGCATTGATGTGAGGGTCATGTTACTAAAAGACAGGACCAAATTTGGAGACTTCTTGTGCACGCCATGGCATCATCTTCATGTGGGATTGCTTTTGCAAGAATTGTAGCTGGATGCTGGATCCAGGGCTGCATAATCTCTTCAGAGGTAAGAGAGATCACTGAAATTACCTGATTATGACAATCTGGACAGCTGCTCCTTGTGAGTGGACCACAGCATCTGCCTGTTTTGCAGTTATCTTCTGAATTGAGAGGCTAGAAGTTGGAATTTCATTGTTCACATTGATAGTGTCATTGATATTTAAGAGTGATTGACTTCATTTCTTGATCAATTTTTGGATTATTTTTCTTATTGTACTGGAGAAATAGAGACCCTTCAGACTGGCAAGGTTTTGTTGTATTCATCAGGTGAGCCTTTAGAGGTAATGAAGAATATAATGAAGTTATAGAACACAAACTTGAAATGGATAATTGTTTAATTATTTTGAATATTAAATTTAATGAGAAGGATAGGAATATTACAAATGGCACTGATGGATGTCTTATTGCCTAAAGGAATTGTAAAACTATTATAACAGGAAATCAACTACACAAAGAAGTTTGGGTAAGGTTTTGAAGGATTTCAGTATTAGTAGCAAACTGATAGAAATCAACAGAGTTGGAAAAAGACAAACTTTACTCAATTGAATATATCAAATGTATCTGCAAAACTTCTGAAACATTTCTGGCTTAAAAGACAGCCATTATAAAAAAGGTTACTTCAACTTACAAATATTTGTCCTAAACTTAATTCTAAGAAAAAAGGAAAATAAGAGGACTCACACATCACTTTTAATAAAGTGAGATGAGTAGTGTAGATCTTAAATAAAAGCAGATCTATCCCATCTGCACACTTCTGTTCAAGACAGGAAAGCACAAACTAAATATTTAAAATGTGTGTATATTCATAGAGAAATAACTCCAACCAGACATTTGCCCTATAAACCTACGGACAAGTTAAGTCGGTGTGGATTTCCATAGAAGAGAACATTTGTAGCCGAGGGTTGAACTGTGGGATCTTAGGTGCTCTTGGAAGTTGATCTTAATCTCGGAGAGGACCAAGGACCGCAACGTGGACTGGATGACAGACACACTGAAGCAGCCACGCGGCTGACTCACGTCGCGCCCATAAACGCTTCACCATGCTGAAGAAAAAGCAGTGTGTCATGCGACTCAGTCGCGGTCCTTCTACTTTCCAAGGGTTTCATTAATGAAGGGAACCGCTTATCAAATTGGGCGGAACAGGTGAAACCGTAAAAGGCAGAAACTAAGTCATCCAACTCCCCCGGACAGTTTCCCCGCTGTCTTCCTGCGGGATTGTGTTTTTCTTCCCTCCCCGAAACTTCGGAATTCAGACGAGGTCGGCAAACTCCGCCGCCCACCGGGGTCTACACGCCGACTCCCCCCGGCCTCAGTTGGTCAGCGGAGCCCCATCCCTTCACTCCTCAGGCCGGCTTTCTTCCCATCCCTCCTCTACCCCCCCCCCCAATCAAAATTCCGGGCCTCCCGCTTGCTGAATTAGCGTCAACGAGGCGCATGCGCCCTGCTGTCCCTAACGATACCGAAGGGGTAGAGAAAGGGGCGTCGGCTTTGACCTCTCCTCTCGGGAAGCTAGATGGGCGGGGACTGCCCAGGCCCCACCCCCTCGTTCGCTACCGCCTTTTTTCCTCGCGCCGGTGGCTGCAGTCGAGACATTCTAGTGGTGGCGGCGACGGCCGCTGCTGGAAAGAGCGGGAGCCCGGGCGGGCGTCGAGCGTGGGGCGGGTGGGAAAATGGCGGTCGTGTTAGCCTGGCTGTGGAACGAGCGCTTCTGGTTTCCGGTCAACGTGACGTGGGCCGATTTGGAGCAAAAGACCCCCGAGGCATACCGCGTCGGTCACCTTCTGGCAGCGTTCCCGCTAGCCGCCGGCCTCTTGGTCTTAAGGCACTTCTTCGAGAGGTAACGATACGCGGGGAGGTGGCCGGCGGCTCCTCAGAGGACACAGGGCCGGGTGTGGTGAAATGGGAGGCTGGGGCGGCCGTGGCTGACGGACCCCGCGTGAGGTGATGGTTTGGGTCGGGCCCACGCTTCCCGGTTCCGGTCGAGGAGGTGGGGGCGGCTGACACTTGACTTCCTCCTCTGGACTTGTCAGCGGCTCGGGGCGAGGCTGGGGTTTGTTTTGTTTCCTTCCTTCCTTCCTTCCCGGGGCTGCGGAGCGACCGTCCCGCCTCTTGGCCTGTCAGTGGATTCTCTCGAGTCGGCCGTGGTTGCAGCCTGCGCGGCTTGACGTTGTTGGGTCTGCGGTAGCAAAGCATCCGGGCGAGTCTTCCAAATGACAAGCTTCCCTTAACCTTTCGACGAAATGTCGTAAACCGTGGGCGTCGGAAACGTGCTATCGGATTCTCTTCAGACGGTGTCGGTCGAGTGCTCGGCCCGCTTTGCCAACACAAACCTGGCTTCGTTTATTTAATTTCGATATCCCAAAGGAAAGCGGGTGGAGGTGGTGGATTCGCATCTAGCTCACATCTTTTATCTCACACTGCGGCCAATCCTGGAGGGTAAAGATGGGCTGAGAGAAAAGGGCTTTGAGATGACCTTAGACCTTCACGAGGGAGTGGGAATTTGAACTCGAGTGGCTCTCGGACGTACTTTGCAACTGAATCTGTCTGTAGACTTCTTGTTTGTCTCAACATTCATTATTGATGAAGGTGAAGTCAAGTTTAAAAAAAATAGTTTGAGATACTTTGCAGACCAGAAGATGGTACCCTTAGTGTTTTTCTTTCTTTCTTCATTGAGTTTATCTGTGTAAGATTAATTATCTGCTGAAAAATCAGATTGGAAAGGGAATGATTAAACAGGATAAAGAAAACATGAATGTAAAGATTGGAGGGGAGAGGGAGCCCTCTAATTTATGACAAGTTTAATTAAAATTCTGCAAGCCATAGATATATATCCATGAGAGCATTGATGCACTGTTTTGGGTTAAGCGTTCTTGTCATTAATTTTGCAAGGGAAGGCAGTGCATGTTGCTTTCAAGATATGGTACCTGCTGTTCTGGGCCAAGACAGACATGGACCTTGATGACCCAGTTTGTGTCTGCTAGGAAGGAATACACAGTTCACAATTGGATTCCTATGCTTTTCCTCTTCTCAGTCTAAATGTTTGGTTTATGACATCTGAGACACTGTAGCACCTTTATGTTATTTGCTGTGGCTTTCCTGATGTAGGAATTAATGTTTGTGTTGAAAATGGCCTGTTCATGAAATACGCCTGGAATAAAATGTGTTCATAATGATTTGAAATAGTGATTTACATGAGAACATTTATTGGCAAATAGTGATCTGGTATAATGTTGAATAAGTAATAGCTATAAGTGGACTGTTAACTTTTGTTTAAACTGAATTGGCAATCCCTTTATTTTCCAGTCTGGGACTGAACATGAGTTTTTCTCATATAAAATATTTGTGTTTTACGTTATTAGTGTAAATCAAGCTGTACTTTTAGAAAAAGTAATAAATATACAGGCAGTTCTCCACTTACAATTTGTTTAGTGACCCTTCGAAGTTACAATAGTACTGAAAAAAATAACATGACTTTTTCACTTTACTGTTGCAGCATCCCCATGGTCATATGATCAAAATTCAGACAGTTTCAGACAAAACTCATATTTATGCCAGTTGCAGTATCCCATGTGATCATATTTTATGACTTTCTCATAAGGAAAGTCAATGGGGAAGCCAGATTCACTTAACAACCATGTTACTAACTTAACTACTGCAGTCATTCATTTAACCACTACAGCAAGAAAGGTCATAAAGTGGGGCAAAACTCATTTTACAAATATTTCACTTAGCAACAGAAATGTTGGGCTCAATTGTCATAAGTCAAGGACTACTGGTATTGTAATAACACTTTCATAATACAGCTGTTTCAGCTTTTATAGAAAATTATATGTAGAAATTTTAATGTCTGATTTTAATTCATATCAAAAATTTAATGCGTATATATAGAAAATTAGCATGCCAGGAGAAAGCTTAAAATTCTATTTTGTACTTTTCTGTTTGCAATTATTTTTTCCCCACTCACAGGAACAATGAATTACATTGACATGAATTACAACTTCCAGTAATCCTAGCCATATCATAGCAAATAATAAAGATTCCTGGGAGTCGTAGTTTAGCAACATCCAAAGGGCTCTAGAGATTCCTCTCTGATGCACACACACTGCGGAATACTGAAAATTTTGAATCCAGTTTTCTTTTGAAAAGTACACTTATTACTAAAATATTATAGTTATTTGTATCCAGCTGAATTTTTCAAATATGAACTTCTATTTATCCTGAAATTGATTTCAATACATTTTAGGAAATACTTTTATCAGGTAAAACGGAGATACATACTTAATTCAACTAATACCTAGCAACTTTGCTGAGCTGTATTGTTTCCTTCCATTGTTTTCAGTCATCAAACTGAAATTTTGGGAAATCAACTTCAGTACTTTGGTTGGAATAGAAGGGTGTGGAAACATAGTGAATGTTGTTGGTGTACAGTACATTTAGTGTTTTCTTTAACTGTTTCTAGCATAAGATTTGAATTTTTTTCTCATTCTTTCTTATTATACCTTTTCTGCATTAACATAGTGTTGCTTATATGGAAAGGGAATAATATGAAAGTAATAGAATTTGTTTCACAGTTTTTAGAAAGGCATTTCTAAACATTTTCTGTGTTGGGAAAGTTGTTGTTATGAAACTTCATTTTTTGAGGTTTACCGATCTGGAAAGTTAACACCAGAGTGATGAAAGATCTTTCTTCCACTCTTAGGACAATGCAGATTTATTATGACTCATACTCAATATTTTTGATATAGGAAAAAAAACTTCACTGCAGTATTTCCTAAATCTCAGGAAGATCCCTTAATGAACAAACATAATTATAAATGTAGGGGAATGCTACAAAAGTTGCAATTCTTTTATTCTTTGTGTCCCATGACCACCTCTTTCTTCTTGGAATTATTTTCCCCTAAGTTTCTTTCCTGCTTGGAGAGAGTATGTCTTATTTATTTACATTTTTAAATGTACAGTAGAACCTCTGGTCAGGACCACAGTTGTTCCATAACTTTCGTCACAACCCGATTTGGTCATGACCTGAACCTAATTTTGGAAATTTGGTGCTTACAAAAAAATGGAGTAGAAGAAGAAATCGGCCACGAAAAAAATGTGAATTTTTGGTCGGAACCTGATTTGGTCGTGGTCAAACGTTCCTGACCAGAAATTCTACTGTATATATTGGGTTATTTTTTCAAGTTTAACGATTAGATTTTTATCCTGCCTTTTTATATTTAACTCAAGTGGTGTAATACAGATATGTAATACTTCTGCCTCCTATTTTACTGACAATAACTCTCTGGGCTGGGCTGGGCTGAGGGGAGAGGGAGGGTGGGGGAGAGAATATTATATGTTTATTAAAATCAGTCTGATGGAAAGTGTTAAGATTTTTTTCTATTTCCATTTTTTTAAACGGAAGAAAAAATGGCAAATATTTTATATACTATCATATTCCTCATTAAATTAGATTTTGTCCACTAAGGAAGAATGCAAAACAATAATTGTTCTTAACTTATTATGGAGAATAGGGCAAGCAAAGTCAATGGGGAAGATTTACTTAGCAACTGTTACTAACTGAACAGCTGCAATGTTCAGGTAATGCATTGCCCAACACTACCTCTGCATGTTGACCTTAGCTTCCTTAGGGAACTAGGAAACCTCCATTTCTGTGGGTAAGTTAATACAGATGGGTATTTTCATAAGCAACTGCACTGATCTTGATTTACTATTGGTACCATGAAGTATTATTGCTATTATAGTACGGGCTTTTTAAAAATTTTCAGTTAGGTTATTCAATTATTGATCAGCCTTCAGTTCAGCCTACATTGTTTACATTTAATTAAAAAAAAATCAATTTTGGTAACAGAGTTGTCGAAGTCTGCAATATCTTGCCTGATTCAGTTGTCTTAGCTACTGACTTTTACAGTTTTAATTCTCTTAACTTCTGTGGACCACACATTTAATTTAAAAATTTAAAAAGGTTCCTAAGAGGATGTGCGTAAGTGCACTAATGTGCCCATCATCCCCGTCACATTGTATTTTCATTTTGCTCATTTGAATTTGTAGGTTTTGTTTGATTAATAATAAAGATCAAAACACACACACGCATTAACTTAATGTACCCATTACAGGTAGACCTTGACTGAATGGTTTGTTTAATTATCAAAGTTACAACAGCATTGAAAAAAGTGACTTTTGGCTGTTTTTTTACACTTACACCTATTGTGCCATTCCATGGTCACGTGATCAAAATTCAGATACTTGGCAGCTGACTGATAATTGCAGTGTCCCAGGGTCATGTGATCACCTTTTGCAACGTTCGGGCAAGCAAAGTCAATGGGAAAGACAGATTTACTTAGCAACTGTTACTAACTGAACAGCTGCAATGGTTCATTTAATAATCGTGACAAGAAGGGTTGTAAAATTGGGAAAACTCACTTAACAAATGTCTCACTTAGCAACAGAAATTTAGGAGTCAACTATGGTCATAAATCGAGGATTACCTGCAATAGATTTTTTAAAATCCCAAACTGCAAGACATGATAAGGTTTATACCTGGTGCCAAAAAGAAAACAAAGCAAATGCCATGAAAACCTCTTCAAGGAAAAAAAATTCTGAAGACAGAACATTATTAAACACGTCCTGATTCCTGTCTCTGTCTCTCTCTTTTTCTCTCTTTTATCCCCTCCTCCCACACATTCAGACAAAGGGAAAAATGCCCTTGAGAGAATCCCTGCCTTGGAAATTACACTGAATATTCATTTAGTCTTTTTGATAATATACCATCTCAGAATCAGATCTGTTTGAAGCAGCTCTTCAGAGTGGAATCTCATTTGCAGAACATGTTCTTATGTC